TTTCACTCTGAGTTCTTTGTGTTCTGTTGTGTAAATTACAGTTACATGAAACCCTGCAAGACCTAAAATACCAGCAACTGTGATCGTATGTACACGTTGTTTTAGTTACTTATACCATCATCTAAAACTGTAATGCAACACATCTTGAAAGGGTTCAATAAGCTTCGAATTTGTATGCCTGCCCGAAATGCAATTGTGATTGAACTTTCATCATGTTTGCTTGAAGACCAGTATATTGCCGAACCCAGTCACTGGAACACTGCAAATGGAACCTGTGGCCCGGTTTATTCTTACAATATAGGACTATCTAAATTTAAAATCTGCCATCAGTAAGGGTAGCTATTCGCGAATACTCACCTTCCAAACAGAATCTACATCACTGATCGAGTTGAAATCCATGGATGAACCGTCAGTCGGGTCCTGATATGGCCCAACAAATGACTGGAATACACTGTCAAAGTAAAAGAACGTCATACTGTTGACCGTCAATAGTGCAACTGAAAATGATCGAAACAAGGGTGGTGGGACAAGAATATGATTATTTGCGCTAAAGAAAACCAGTTCATCTTTAGCACAGCGAGAAAGAACAGAATTTCATCAAGCTAACATACGTTAAGTTTCTTCGGTTACTCGTAATCAGCTGCATACGTACATGGACAATATAAAATAATAAAATTGAATCACAGTATAGAATCGATGAGTAAATCGATTGGATCAATCCAAAATAGGGGCGATTTAGAGGATGCTTACCGGTTGCATGAGTATGGATACAGAAATCTATATTGTGGAAATAAATTCACAATGGTTTTCTCAATCAACGAATTAATCTACAACTAATCGAACAATTTACCAATATTGCATGTCATACGATTTCCTGAAACATACCTAAAGTGAACATCCGACGGGGATCCGTGGATTATGAGGAGCATGAATTGGAGTATTTTGAATACTGTGTTCTAAACTTCTTAATACACTACTAAATACTAAGTAGTCATTTTAAATAAGGTAAACTAGTTTGACGGTTCTTTTTATTGTGTGAGTGTTGGAATTATTCGGTTCGGTCGGAATCAAACCCATGCCTCAAATGGTCCGAGTGAACGTATTCTTAACATAGCACGTACTGTATCAACCCAACCACCCTTACCGTTCTGTGTTGACTATATCGCAAAATAATCATACACCGAAGTCACCTAGTTTACCGACATCGCTCGTTTGCATTTAGATTGTATGAAATTTTCTTCTATCCCATGTTGTTTGTGCTCCACAATTGAATTATACAAACGCAGCTTGGTGTAAAGCTTTGGGAACGCCTAACATTTCACCACTGGTGAGTGATTGTGCATATTATTTTTATTTTCTGTATGTAAAACCGTCCGAAACATTTTGAAAAATTCCTATGGGGTTTCATTAGCGTTAGCTTTGATAACTCACCCATAATGAAATTTTGAAGATTGAACTTTGGACAATAAAATCCGATTGGTATTCATAACCTATCTAGCTGAAGTTTCTAATCAATCTTCGGTTTTGATCCAAAGGTTTAATTCTTGCTTACAATCTCTTTGAATTTAGTTTTCTGCCTCGACATATCTTCAGTGGTAATCCGGTTTGCACCCGTCAAAACCAATCCATCACTTTCAAGACATTTTACATGGGAACAGCGAGGGTGTTGCATAGGATACTGTCTCGCACTGAAAACTAAATTACTATTTTCTATTTCTCAGTTAAGCTCATAGAAAGTGTTGAACTCCCAGGACGATAGGATCGTTTTTAAGGACAGGAGGACAAGGCCTCCACCCGGCCACCGACAACAGTTCTTGTTATCTTGTTCAATAGTAAACAATTTAACAACCCCTCAAAATCAGCATTTTTAGTCAGGTTGTAGTGACAATTCAGCTCGTGATCGGATCTGCACATGTGATACAAATTTCAGTTGCGGTTCATTTGCACTTTTAGCCGGTAACGAGTGATCACAATTTACACTTCCCTTCACCCCCCAATCGTTTGGTCGTGTTTGTGGTGGAAAAAGCCAGTCGGTTTGTGTTGACCTTTCGCTTGCTATGAAAAGCTATGATCACTGTTATCAGTCTTGGTAAGATGGATTTAACGGACGAGGAAAAAGGCAGTTGGTCCAGCTGAATGCCACGGGTCTGAGTTTTCCGTAAACATGAGAATAATTCAAACGTCTTATTCCTGTCAAAGGCAAAAGCAGATCGGTTCAACTGCGAAAAAGTACAAATAGCGTTTCCTTCAAACCGGATAGACCAAGGGTGGAATAAATACCTTAAAATAATCCGGTGACTAAGAAATCGGTGAAAAAGAATGTGAAATTGCTTGTGCCTGCAAATGTCCAGCTCGGTTTGGAGAAAAACACCTGCTGGCGCTTTCTGCCCACATGGTGGATGAACGCTAAATAATCAAACGGATTGGGCATAAGGTATCATCCATGTTGAGAAAAATCCTCCTCTAGGCAACGGTTTCACGCATTGTTTCATACTACAACAGCATAAATGATGTCTGCACTAAAGTTCACAAAACATCGTTTTACGCTTTCAGGCCGCAGTTTCTCCCGGGTAAAAATGCAAATAAACCGATATTGAAAATTCTCCTCAGCAGTATGTTTATGTCACAACGAATCGCTTGCTAGTTCGATCAAAATACAGTTGGGAGTAAGAGGACCAAGCAGCCGAGTAGAAACGCAGCCCTAATTTCCAACACATATTTGAGAACGTTTGGATAGAACTCACTCAGTAGGAGAAGCAAAAGGAATATCAAGTAGAGCGCCAACTCGCGAAGTGTGGTTTTGATGAAAACGCGTCGATTTTTCACATTCTCCGTTTGCCGTGTAGCCCAAATTCCTGCATGGAGGGAAATTTTAGGAAGTAAAACTTTTTTCCCTTTCGAAGCTTACATCCAATCGATATACTGCATCTGAATTCGATGGAAAAATTATTATTATCAGTATTATTATTATTATTATTATTATTATTATTATATACTTATGTATCATTATTTTTTTATCATTCTTATTGGCTCCCATTTATCCGCACGGAAATACTTGTTTCTAACAAAGAATAAATATAAGATGTTCGAAAAAATCCAATGCTCTTTTGGTACGGCCCAAAAAATATTGCCAATATATGAGTTTGCGTAATGATATTCTAGCGAAGGTCTCTCTTTTGAACCTCATTACTTCTCGACAGCCATCATGTGTTTTATTTACCAGTTCCGTGTGTGAAGGTCCGAAAGAGCATTGGATAGCTGTTTCACCCGATCGATAGTCGTGTAGCTTTCGCGTGAAACAGTTCTAAACCCTTATGTTCACAGTTATAGTTCCCCCCGAGGGAGAAAAAAGATGTTCAAATCTAGGAAACAGTTGTCCAGCAAACTTTGTCTTGCAGGTCGAAAGCTGTATCTACAAACACGATTCTGTAAGCTCATGAACGAATATCTAAGATAGCCAGTCATATTACACCTCTTCATGCACAGAGAGGTAAACTTTTGTAGCGAGACAAAACAAAATGAAAAGGTGAATGGTGTTGCACTGAACTGCTCAATCATGAAGCTAAACTGTGGGGGGGGATCACGGAGGCTTCTTCTCCAGTGCACTGGGCACTATATTATAATGTGTTGCGTGCATCTTTGGGATAAAACGTTCTCATTATTGAGGTGTACAAAATCCTTAGGGATGTAGTGTATTTCGAGGTATTAAGTCACTCAAGCTGTTCAAACCATTATTTTAAATGCTCGCAATCATCACCCGCTGCCAATTGAGCAATGGTGCTGTTGCTGTGAGCTTTCCGCAACCTAGTTCGCTTTGCACACACAGACACACACATGCACAAACACACATACACGGTGAAGTTAACATCTTTTAGTGAAATTCTCAGTAGGAGAGGGATGATGAAGTCCCGGTAATGGTGATAGGGATAACAATAATATTCGTATGCAACTCACATTTACTTTGGAGTAGTCTTTATATTGTTGTGGACTGGCCATCCATCAGACTTCATCTTCACGCAAACTCCTCAGTTCACCCAGTCAATTATACACTCGGGAAGCACTAAGTTCGAGCTTCCCTCTCTTTAGAGCTCACCATCGTTAGGTCTGAACTCTGAACTCCGGACCTATCGCGTGGAAGGGTTGTGTTACCACTGCGCCCACCGGGGCTGATCATAATTGCAAATTCATTTTTGTTCAAATGTCGTCTTCAATGATGGTCAGTCAGTTACTTTGGCACGACAGCAAACAAGGGAGACACAATCGATTATCTATTAACTGCATTCGAAAGCGAAACTGGGGTCTAGTGTATCCCGAATGCAAGCTTTGGTACTCTAAAGTTGTGTTCTGGTCTAGCCATGACCCTGTGAACGTGTGATCGCTAATTCCTCATTCTCTTAAGGAGTAAAACCCACACCTAAGACTATCAACAGTACCTGCTGCCTGTAAAAATAACCGAATTAGCAATGCCGTCTAAAGTGAGCCATTCGCAAAAGGTAATGACCGTCGACCTGTGTAGCTCAGGAATAAAGGCTTGATGTCCCGACCCGAAGATTCGCGGTTCGAGTCCTGAGAGGGACACAAAACGTACGCATTACTGGCGAGTCCCAAACAGGACAAAACAACTGTCCAAGGCATTTTACCGGTCATCACAAAGATTTCCATTGCATTTAAATCACTCCAACACTTTGGTTCAGTGTTCTCTGTTTTTCTTCCGTTTGGAAATATGGGAGAGGTGCTTGTGTGATCAACAAAACAACAACGCGAACAGAACTGAAGCACAACCAATAAGCACTGAGTAGGTGTGAGTGATCCTCAGTAGAACTGGTATCTTCCCACGAAAGCGTGGGAATATTGTTCAATTTAGTGAAACACTGTATCAAACAAATGAGGAAATAGAAATCAACACAACAGTG